ACTTTTGCAAATTTGGTTTTCTAGGCCACCGCTTCAAAATGCCCTAGAAAACACACCAAGTTGATGCCAGGCCACTTCTAGGCCATTACGTGGTGGCCTAGAAAAGCAAACTTTCAAAAGTAGGCCACCACTGCAAGATGAATTCGCCTCGAAAAATTCCTCGAGGAATTCATCAAAAAATTTCTCGAAGTCGTGTCGAAATTCAAATCATAACCTAAATTTATAAAACTTGGTTATGACCTAGATTTCTAAAATTAGGTCATTACCTAGATTTCCAAAGTTAGGTCGAAAAATGCCAAAAAAATGTAAAAATTGTGAAAAAATGGGTCCTGGCGCGAAAGCTACCGTAACCTAATATTTTTTGATTTTTGCTATAAAGCGGCCATTTTTCTAAAAATATTTCCAATTTTCCAGGGCGTCACCGGCACTTCAAATTGCAACTACAACCACTCGGAACTGCTCCTGGCGCGCGCATTCTGCACCGGCCACGTTCCCTACGAATTCGTCGAAAACCCAGAATTCAAATTTTTCCTCAACTCGCTAAATTGCGAATTCAAAGTTCCAAGTATGAATCGAATTCGTGAGGTTTTGATGGTCAATACGTCGTCGCTCATCAGACAAAATACGTTTGAATTGAGCAGAGCAAAGGTAGTATGCGGAGCTGAAAAACAATTTCTTCTGAAATTTAATTTTTCAGGATTATGTGATTATCACTGATGGACTATCAGAATCTAAATTTGAGAGTCCCACATTTTTATCAGTATACGTGTCACACGTGGATCAGTATACTTTCGAGAGGAAGGTTTTGGTGAGTTTTTCAAAAAAGCCTAATTTTGAAAATCTAGGCCACGACCTAATTTTACAAAATCGAGGTCCGAGCTAATTTTAAAAATCTAGGTCATGACCTAATTTTAGAAATCTAGGTCATGGCCTAATTTCGGAAATCAAGGTCATGGAATATTTATGAAAATCTAGATCATGACCTAATTTTAGAAATATAGGGCGTGGCCTAGTTTTCAAAATTTTGGTCACAACCTAATTTTTTAAATCTAGCCCATGACCTATGTTTGAAAATCTAGGCCACGACCTAAATTTTGGAAATTCAGGTCATGACCTGATTTTAGAAATCAGAGACGTGACCTAATTTTGGAAATCTAGGTCATGACCTAATTTTAGAAATATAGGTCATGACCTAATTTTAGAAATCTGAGACGTGACCTAATTTTGGAAATCTAGGTCATGACCTAATTTCGGAAATCTAGGGCGTGACCTAATTTTTAACATTATTTTCACAGCCTAATTTTTGAAATCTAGGGCGTGACCTAGTTTTTAAAATTTTGGTCACAACCTAATTTTGGAGTTCTAGGTCATGTGAAACTTCAAAAATCGCGGTTTTCAGCTCTGCGGACTGACCTACATCGACGAGAAATCGGATCGAGCTGGAAATATGAGAAGAGTGCAAAATTTGGTCGATAGTGTTGGCCTAAAATTTCAAGAAAATCAAATTATCGTCTGTGATATGGACCAGAATCTGAAGGAAAATGAATTAAGTATTAGAAAGTGAGTTTAAAGAGGAGTAAAAATGTTTAAGGCATTGAAATCGCCTAACACATACTAGGTGAATATTTGACCATTTCTAGGCCATCCACCAGGGTGGCCTAGAAAACTCATCTTGCGAAAGTTAGGCCACCATGTTAAAATGATCTAGGAAACATACCGAGGGAAAATCAAGCTATTTCTAGGCCTTTTACCATAGTGGCCTAGAAAACTCAACTTGCGAAAGTTAGGCCACCAAGGTAAATGATCTAGAAAACACGCCAGCTGAATTTCTGGCTTTTTCTAGGCCATTTACCATAGTGGCCTAGAAAATTCAGTTTGCAATAGTTAGGCCACCATGTCAAAATGGATTAGAAAAACACCAGGTGAGAATCAAGTTATTTCTAGGTCATTTACTATGGTGTCCTAGAAAAGTCATCTTGCGAAAGTTAGGCCGCTATGTCAAAATAAAAAAAAAACCAAGTTTCTTAAAATTACAGTATTCCTTGTGCCGGCCACGCGATCAGTCAAATTTTCGAAGAATTTGGATCCCGAGTGAAAAACGCGGCAAAAATTCATCAAGACATCAAACAGATCTTCGCGGTACTGGAGGAGGATGAGGCGAGGCTGGCAAAGGCTCTTTCGTAAGTTTGTGGCCTAACTTTTCATGAGTGGCCTAACTTTTTTTCTCTTCCAGATTACAAAAAGACTACAAAGTCCAGATTCCACTTCCCTTAAAATCGTCCACAAGCAAATGGGGCTCGCTTTTTACGGATATGCAGGGATACATAACGAATGTGAGCGGCAGGAACTGAAAATTTAAAAAATTCAATTTCCAATTTTCCAGGAAGCCTACTTTGTCTTTGTCCCAAATCTCGGCGCTAAAGAACACCAACTGCTCAACTCTCGGAAACTTTCGGAAGCTCAAAATTTCGTAAAACTCTTGCAACCACTTCACATAGCTCTAGAAGCGGTAAGTGCGCTCAATTGAGAAATTCGAAATTTCAAAATGTTTCAGTTGACCTCTGAAAACTCGTTTTGCTCGGATATCGTGCCAAACTTGTTGTGTGCCAAGGAAGATTTTGATGAGAACGATCCATCGGCCGTGGTGTTGGCCGAGCTGGTTCAGGAGAAGTGGGTGACTTAGTTTTCGATTTTTAGGCCATGAAAGATAATTTTCAGAATCACTGCCTATCTGAGCAATGACATCATTCTCGTGTCCATGATCTCGGACCCTAGGTATGCCTATGTTCCGAATCTGGTTGATCCAAGGACATGGCAAGAGGCTGAACAGCTTTTGATTGCTGAGGAAACTGTAGCTAGCGCTTTATCGTCGATTAGTCCGAATACAGTGAAAGACGAAGGATCGGAAGAGACGGCGAGAGGGCTGGCTGGTCTGTTGAAGAGAAAAATCAAAAGCGAGTGTCCGGCGAAGAATTTGACGGTGAGTCTGATCTTCTGATCCTTGAATCCTCAGATTTTTAGATACTTTGATCCTCTGATCCTCTGGTCCTCTGGTCCACTGATCCTCTGATCCTCTGATCCTCTGATACTCTGATCCTCTGATCCTCTGATACTCTGATCCTCTGATCCTCTGATCCCCTGATCCTCTGATCCTCTGATCTTCTGATCCTCTGATCTTCTGATCGTCTGATCGTCTGATCCGCTGATCTTCTGATCCTCTGATCCTCTGATCCTCTGATCCTCTGACCCCTCGACTCATTGATATTTTCCAGTCCGAACTCCTGCACTACCAAGCCCTGATGGCCACCAACCGACCTTGCCACACCTCGGATCCTCTCCAATTCTGGAAAGATCAACAACACAATCTTCCAAAGCTGGCATCCCTCTCAATCAAGAATCTCGTCGCGATGGCCTCAACTACAGTATCCGAGAAGCTGTTCCGAAAATGTTCAGGAGTTATTAACTCAAAGGTCTCAAGAATCGACAAACGGGACATCGAGCTGTATCTTCTGGAGAATGCAATCTCGCCAAAACTTGATTTGTAAGTTTTGAAGAAAAACAGATATTAAGTATTTTATGATTAGTTCCAGACTTGAAGAAGAGAGTTCAAGCTACCAAGAGCCAGAGCCAGAATCATATCTAGACAACACATTTTTGGATTTCACGAGTGCTCCTGAAGAGCCAACGACTTCACAACTCTCTGATGTGAAACTAGAACCCGAGGATCCTGTACGATCATCACCACGACCAATGCCAGAGTTTGGGCAACCGTCGATCATCCAACCACCACTAATTGCTCCATCTCTCATTGCTCATCGTCCACCGCAGCTGACGCATCAACCCCGGCTATCACCAGCTATGATGGCTGCCAATAACTTTCCAATCAATCCAGCACTGAATCCACCAAGCCTAGGCAGTAATCCGGCTAGCCGAATCAGTAGCCGAATCGCACCGCCCATTCCGACCAGCACTTCTCGCCCTATTTTTTTCAAGGATAATCGGCTTTAATTAAATTTATATATATGCGGGATTTATTTTTTAAAAATCTGGAAAAAAATAACTCGTGGTAGACAAATAGTTTAGAATCTGTGAAGCCCGCTACTGATAACGATAGGATGTGAAAAGGTGCAGTGTGACATGAACAAATTGCACATGATAAAACTGTTCAAAGAACCACGTATAGAATCTGTTGAAAAACCAAACTGAAAGTTCAAAGTGCGTTGAAAGTCATCCTCATGATGCATTTCAGTCATGAGTAGTTTGTTTCAGCGAAATAGTTGGAGTACGTGACAATTTCGAAAATTCTTGGGGCTGCTATGTACTGCTCGGAAAATTGTCGAACCGTTGTCTAGGTTATACGATACTGGCGGTGTGTCATTAAATGACTTTATAAAAGCTTTTAAACCAAAGTGGGTAAATTCTAATCTAGAATGGATTTAACCGCTGCATCTAGTTTTTCTGCTGGTTTAGAATTTATTTTGAAAAATAGGATATTTCCTTTCTCTAGTTTTCTCACACGCACTTATATCCGTTATGAGACAAGTTTATGATATTCTACTGACATCGGAAATTATGCCAAGAAATGTATGTCAGATTCAGAGGACACCAAGTCATATACCGTATTTCCTCTAATAGAGACCCATGGGCTTCTATTTTTCAACCTATTTCTGGGGTGGATTAATTTTAGAGAAAACGCTCAAATTAGAGGGGTTTCGGTTTTTAACTGAACTGAAATAGTTACAAAACGACAAGAATTAACGGAAATTACAAGAAATATAAACAAAAAAGAATATGTCTGCACTAACCGAAAAGAAAAATGCACAGCCAGGGTGGGCTTCGAATAAAAGTGGGCTTCTATTAGAGGAAATACGGTAACTTGCAGAACTACAATTACAAGTCATCCGTTACGAGTTGCCCAGGATGATACTTCGTATTTCCTATAATAGAAGACCATCCAAACCGTCAACTTTAAGCTCAATTATCTCGGCTCCTTCAAAAGATGTCAAAAATTTGTCCAACTGATAAATTATTTTTTATAATATCACTAATATTTTATCAGTTGACACATTTTGATATGTCTCACAGGACTCTAGATAATTGACCTCAACGCTGAATGGTTTCGGGTGGCCTTGTGTCAACTTCGATTTACAAATTCTAGAAATACCATTGATTCATTTGGTCGAGTTCTAGAAGAGAATACAAGGACAATCTTGGCTGTATGGACGATTTGCTACAAAATAGTACAGAGGTTTTGTTAGCCACACATTTTACAATTCAATGGTCATCCGTTAATGAATTTTTCTGTTGGTTTTCAATCCGTAAATGTATTTGGTCCACATTCATCATGATTAGTGACCATTGTATACACCCATCACAGTCGGAGATCCATGGTCGAGGACCGAGAAAAAGAAAGGGCGATTTGCAATGAATGAATACGGGGTTCTGTCAATTGCAGGAGATATAAAACTCATTCGTCTTTCTCTAAATCTGTTAAGATTCTTTTTTTCGCGTTCTTGAGATCTGAAGATAAATCTTTCCGATACCTCAGTTCATGTAAATCTCACCCATAAGAAGATCCAACCCATTTAAAATGAAACTTATGAGCCTCTCTGCCGACGATATACGAAAATGTTGATTTCATATGAAAGTGAGGAATCGCGTAATGAACATTGTATACTGTCATCTCATTAAAAAGCGTTTGAATTCTTGTGAAATTTAGTTCCTGAAAAGAGTTGTAGTTTTTGAGACAAATGGTTTCCATCGTCATACCCTTATGCTGTCTTTCAGGGATTGACCTTTTTTAGGGAGGAAAAAAATCAAGTCACATTTTCCAATCAAAGGGACTTGGAGAACCTGTAAATGTTGAACTCAGAAGGATTGTTCCTTAAACTTGCTCCAAAACACCTCACTTCAAAAGTACCATCTTCCGCACAACGGAATGTTCTTGATTCCTCTAAAATCCTCTCACTGAGAGTCGTATTTGCAGATATGAAGTTTAAAGTTTTATGTTTTCCATTCGTCAGGGAGAATCGCATTTTCAAATCCTTCTGGTAGAGATATGAATATAACCATGTTGCTGTGAAGGAGTGGCTCTGAATAGTTAGTTCGGCACGTTTTTGACTTTTTCCAACATACCGAATGATTTGATCTACGGTGCGAATGGTGGAAAGTTTTTGGGAGTAGCCGAACATTGGTCAGTTCCTCAGACATGAGTATTTCAGGAAAGGCATACGAATGGGATGTTCCGATAGTTTGCAGGAACTGCAGACCCGTCGAAAAAGCTTGGATAGAAGATGAATCCATTTTCAAGAATTTGATGTTTTTTGAAATTGAAATGAAATTGTAGGAACTCATTCGTTTTCTCGTCATGCAGCTCATTTCGTTGAAACCGTTTTCATGATTTAATTTCCGTCATATGCCAGTTTGAAACTTTGTACCTACCATACTACATGCCCTTTCTTTTTATTATAAATTTGTGGCGTTTCGATCATTGAGATAGTATGAGGAAGCTAACTTCACGTGAACAAGATGCTCCAACTATAAGTTAATTTTTTGAACCTGTCATGTGTTTGCACATTTTGCACAAATACACTTCCTCGGTCAGGTGTCTTCTTTTATCAATTTGTTCCATCTTTTTGACTCTTGACCGGTAGAGTAAATACAAAAAAAAGAACGAAACTAATCGCTAGTATTACGAAATATCAGAAAATTGCAGACACACTGGCGTCTTTAAAATGTTGATAGTCGAAGTGAAACAGATGTTTCGAAATATTACATCGGAAATGAGCTAGTACAATTCTGGCGTATACTTACACTTTAAACAGATTAGAATGAGAATGAATGTTTTCATGTCGAAAAAACTAGAAGGTCTCAACACAGGACATACCGAAAAACCTGTAATAGAAAGCCCTCCTTCCCTTTTATCTTCGAGCCTATGTATCAACTGACCAAATGATTATCATATTATCACCAATATTTTGTCAGTTGACGACTTTTTGATATCTATCACAGAAAATGAGATACATGTGCTCAAAGTTGACTCATCATAACTACCGTATTTCCTCATATGGATCACCCCTTATTCGGAGCTTGATTTTCTTGGTTTCTATAAGGTAAACAGAACAAATTAGGTGGGATTATAAAAAATAATTTATTAGTTATCTAACATAATTATTTTACAGTAATTGAAATAATTGAGATAAGCATTAAAGTACAGGGAAAGCAGTTTTGAATGAATTTCGAAATATGAGAAAAAATAATTTAAAAATATGTACAGTTAACAAATCAAACAATGTGTACAACAACAAAAAAAGATCCTTGATAACAAGTTAATTACAAAAAACTTTAAACATGCAGACTAAAAATTGTCGCTAACTCAATTTGAAAAAAATAGATATTACAGACATGTACAAATTTACACCATTTTCACAATATACAAATATATACAACTTTACAAATTTACAAACATATACAAGTTTACAATTTATCCACAAAACCCCCTTTCAAATCTCAAGACCTTGTTCCAGTATAAATCCCTATTAAAATTGGGAGACGATGATTGAAAACTGTGTAGAAAAATGGGCGATTCGCAACGAAATGGAACGGGGTTCTATCGGGAATTCGTTTCACGAAGGGTTCATGAAAATCCTCATCCTGCTCCAGATACTTCTCTGACGGCTGTCTCCAATCGAATCGAAGTTTGTGGAATTTCGGATTCTTCAGTCTCATTAAAGTTGAAGTGTCCAGTGTTGAGCTCATTTCAAAACATGGAATCTTAAAATGAACATTGTAAACGGTGAATTCTTTGAAGAGGTTCCCAATTCTTGTAGCGTCAAGTTTCTGAAACTTGTTTTTGTTTAGAAACGTGGGGTTTACGCTACTTACTGTAATACTTTTAGCAAGACTGTATTCTGGTTTAGGTAGAAATATCACCAAACGAAGAGCTGGTTGGTTAAGTGGGATCTTGAGAACCTGAAAGAAGATAATTGCTAATTGGTCAAAAATGGGCGAAGAACGGGCTGAAGACGGAGCGAGCCATATCTTTTTTCAGACTGAATATTTTTTGATAAACAAAAATGGATTCCATAGAATTCGATGAGCACTACAAGTCAAATTTACTTGAAATATTGTATATTGTCTATGAGCAAAGTTACAATCTAAAAAGCTGCCGATTTCGTCAGGGCAGAACAACGCCTGTTTTGTTTTTGATCCATTCTGCCTGTAACTTTGTTCATAGACCACATACACTCTTCCAGATAACATCATTTTGTAGCACTCGTCATTGTCTATCATAATTTTTGTCCGTAAGTTGTATCCTTCGAGTTATGTGCCGGTAAAAAAGGTTTACCGTGAAAACATCGTCCTCTGCAATTCGAAATCCCAAATTGTTTGCCACGAGCTCATCACTTAACGTCTTATTTGCTGTTACATACTTTACATGCTTCACTTTTCCACTTTCAGTCTTGAACTCCATATGATGATGAACATTCCGGTATGGATATCTCCAAGTGGCGGTGAATGTTGAATTCTGGAATGACGAACTTGAAATCTCGTCTAAGTCACCGAAAACTTACAACTAGATTCTTATCATTTTCCGAATGAAATCCTTCGATTTTCGATCGTTTTCTCAAATCCACCTTATTGAAGATCTTGTTTCTTACAGAATTCTGTTCGGAGAGAAGTAGTAAGACTGGAGAGAAAACTAGAGACCCGAAAAATCCAATTTCCTGAAGAACCTTCAAGCCGAAGGTTATGGTAGTGACAGCAAGGGGGTCCATGTTTACTGTAGACCAATTTTTTTGCCTTTGACTTACTCACACTACTTATCGCAAGTTTATATAGATGTCATAAGTAGGCGGAGCTTAAAAAACAGCTGACCGAACACGGGGACAAGAACTAACAAGTCACAAAATTAGGTTTCGCAAAAATGAGGAAAAACGGGAGGAGATTGCTCATGCTAAGATTTTTTTGAAGATAAATGTTCGGGGAATGATTTCGTAAGTGGAAATGATTCAGAACCAAGATTCGGAAATCGCCAAGATACACCTACCGCAAAAAAGACCAAAATTCAATCTGTAATGACTTGTGACTAATGTAAACTTGCAACAAACAAAATTTAAACTTTTGAACGTTTTTATCAATCATCAAAAATTTGCAATTACAACATTTTGTGCTATAATTAGAATCAGAAACCAGTGTCCCGAAAAACTTCAGGGTGCGAAAATTCGACAGAAAATATATCAAACGTTCTTGCCAGATCGGCCCTCGGTCGGATTTCTCGGATATGTCTCTGGAAATTCAAAATCTCAACCTTCTGAGCGGAGCCTACCCCCTCTTCACCCTACCCACCTGAATAATGTTATTGACCTTCATCATTTTGGCCAACCTCTCCGAGTATCGAGGCTTTTCAAGATCTTTCACATAATAGTCATGCAAATCGTCAGACAAGATTTGCTGGAGTTTTTCAGTCGCTTTCAGAATTTCTCCTTGGAATCGCTGTCCGGCATAGTGAAAGCTGCATTGAGCTAACATGAAGGTTAGCTCGATGGGGGTGGGTTCTAGGTCGATGAGAGAGTCCACGACTTCTGTGAGTTCTAGAGATTTGACACCAGTGAAGCTGAAAATATGTATTTTTGAGTGTGAGCTTTTCAATGAAAATATGTGACAATTTGAGCTTCACGATAATCCATTGTAATAGAAGCATACTTGACACTTGAACTTTGAGCTCAATTATCTTAATTCCTATGAGAGATATCAAAAAATTTTCAACAGATAAATTATTTATCATAATATCAGTTATATTTTATCAGTTGACAATTTTTTGATATCTCTCGTAGGAGCCAAGATGATTGAGTTCATAGTGCACATATACGGTGGACTTCTATTAAAGCAAATATGGTGTGTAGGTTGGCCGACTTTGCTAGCTCAATGAATCCCGGGATTCCTAATATATTAACTGGCAGTTAATAATTTTTCGAATCACCGAAAAATTTCAATAACTCCGAGTTTAAAAAATTTACAAAATAATTTTTTAAACTCACAACTCCACCTGCTCTGGCTCATACTTTGTCAACCATGTATGATCATACTCGAACGCGTCCAAATTCACCAATACATTCCGTCCAATCACAATCATATTTCGATCTGTGAAAATCCTTTGTTTCCGGACCAACGCCGTAATTGCATGTTTTTCCAGACGTCCCCATACGTGCCATACAGCCAAAGCGATTTCTAGCTGAAAATATATTATTTTCCTTTTAGAATAACGTATCTATCAGTGTTAGGGTCCCGGAAAAAATTAGGGACAATTGACCGTTTTGGGTACCCTTCCAAAAAAAGGACCCTAATTGTGAACAAGGGAGGTGTTCGGGGTCCCTAGAATGTTTAAGGGTGACTCTTGGGTCTGTCATTTTCAGGTAGCCCGATTGTATCCATGTTTGAGAATGGCTCCGAATTGAGACGGGACCCGCGATAGTTTCTTTTAAGATCAACATTTTTTGACTAATTAGATATCATAGCCCTCGACGAGTATTTCAAAACGATACTATTTGGAATACTGTACCTTGTTCATGAACAAAGTTACAGAGCCTGCAATACGAGCCAAAAAGATTGTCCGCGGTTCTTGGCCTGTAACTTTGTTCAGAGACAAGATGTACGTTTTTTTTTTCTGAATAATACAGTTTTGTAGTTCTTGTTCAGTTCTATCATAGTTATTAGGTTGGCTAAAAAATAATGGTTGTTTTTATGATCAATTGAATTTTTCATAAAAAAGGAAGTAGACAAGATTAACTCAAAAGCTATTTGCCATAATTATCAACTACTTGCAGCCAAAATCCGCGCAAAAAATGGGGTCCGTTGTGAAAGAACCCCACTGGCTGCGACCCAAAGTAGACGACTACCCATTTTTCGGTCTCAACGCGGCTTTTGAAGTGTTTCTCGGCTAATGAGGGTCGCATTGATATGAATTACTGGAAATCTGAAAGTGCCAAATCAGGGCTACTTGGCGGATGAGGGAGAACTTCCCAGCCCATTTCCTCGATTTTCTGCTGTGTGACTTTTGACACATGCGGCCGAGCATTGACGTCTCAACGCTTGCTGCATTTGGCCCAATTATCATTGATAGAGTTCAGTAGTGGCTGTTAGACCTTTTTTCAGAACTTCAAAACATACAAGACCCTTGCTCTTCCACCATACACATATCATTACTTTCTTTCCGTATATCTCTCATTTCGAGTTGTTTTGGCCGGTTCTCCGAGGGACAACCGTTGTCTATTCTGAGTAGTATTATCGTACTGAATCACTTTATCATCCGACATAACATAAGAATCGAGAAAGGCGATATTCTTCGAGAAAAGAAGGATAATTCTGAAAAGTGCGAGGAGGGAGTGGTTGTAGGAAAAAACTTCCGCAACTGTTCGACTTTCCAATTTGTGCAAATGGTTTTCAATGGTACCATTAGTACAAGAAAACGGTTCTGAAAGACTACGAGTCGTTTGACAAGGATCCGACTCGTTTAAGTCTCTCAGCAGTTCACTGTCAATGATTTTTGGTCGAACGGTGTGTTCACGGTCTTCCAAGCTTTCATCGTCATTATAAAAACGTTCAAACTAGCGTACGAATCAATTTTTTATAGAAAAGCTTGTTTGAATACTTTTGAGAGAGAACTAAGAGCTTGCGCGGCATTTTTGACCAACTTAAATTTGTACCTTCCCGCGCATTTTTTGGAACGACGTTTTCTAAACGGAATTCCCAATTGAAAAAACAGAATGGCAAACTGAGACTATATATCAAAAGATGCGCAAAAAAACGCTTTTTCGAATAAGAAAAAGGGAAAGCAAAAATGTTCTCCGGATAGAGAAATACATTCCGACAAACACGCCGCTCATTATTTTTTAGCCAACCTAATAATTAAGTTGGTCTAAAAATATTGTTTCTAAACGAAACTATGGCAGGAACAGGATTCATAAAAAATTTCTTACAACCCCTAACTTGGAAAAAAAACTCACTTGCATATCAATTGGCAATAATTTGAACTCATCGAAATAATTCAACCATTTTGCAAAAGTTGTAATGTAATATTCCCAACAATCCGCAGTCTCGTCTTTTGACATTGTTTTCAGAATTCTCACCGAAATTCGACTTGAAAAATTTTCGAGCCCATTAGCCAATTTTTGTAGTTGGCTCCTCCCCGAAATGGGTCCCTCGGGTCCATTTTTCAAAATGTTTGCGGTATAATCCACTAAACCTTGAATATCAATAAAAGTTTTCGAATTTTGAGGAGATTGAGGATCACAAAAAATTACTGATTCCGGTTTGCCAACGAAAATTTCCACGGATCGTGGTAAGATTCTCTTGAGGATGTCTCGATTGAATTGGAAATCTGAATTTCGAAAACAAAATATGAAAATCTGAAATTCGAAAACTTACTACTAGTGCTCATTCCTTGCTCCTTACACCGTTTCAATCGGCATGGTTTGCAGGGGATTCTAAAATTTTTTTTTGAAAAAATTCAGCAAAATTTGAAGGAACTCACAACTTTCTATCACAATTATTGGACCTGCATGGTTGGCTACCCCATTTTGAATTTGCTGCTCTTCTGGATAATTTTTTGAATTTCCGCCAAGTTTTGAAAATCAGAATTTTACCTGAAAAACGCCGCGCACGCACGACAACTTTGTATTCCAAAATGATTCCCGCTGGCTGGTTGGGCACAAATTTTGCAGAAATTAAAATTTTGTACCAACAGAGATCGATTCATTTTTCAAACTGCAATAATTCAATTTCAAAAATTCAAACAAAAATTAAAAAGAAATTCAATGTAACAACCCGAGAACAACCCGAGTTAAACAAGACATCAAACCTTCAAAAGTTTCGAAGACAGTGAGTTGTTCGAAGAGACGCAGACAAACGGTATTGACTGAAAAAGAGCGAGAGGGTGAGAGACGCAGAGTGGTGGAGTGAATCAATGTTTGTACTTGGTCGATTCTTTTAACAAAACCTGTTGAATTGGGTCATTCGGGTTTTTTTTGTTAAAACAGAAAACAATTTGGTAGAAAACACGAAATGGTGACCCTACAAATCTACGAAATAGGATTTCTAGGCCGCCCTCAAAGCAGATAAGAAGGCAGAGACAGATAAGATAATAAAAATCTGAATCACTTACTGCTTCTAAAGCTGGAATAAGATTGGTCAAAACTGTGAGCCAATTTTTCTCATTTTCTGTATTGATATAAAAAAATAGTCAACTCACAATAACTTTTTGATATCATAATAAACATTGTAGCAGTTGCCAACTTTTTTGATATTTCTAACAAAAAATTAGATTTTTTTTCAAGGTGGACGGTTTGAGTGTGAGATCAAGTCAGTTTGGACATCTATATCTCGGTTACTGTATTAGATATAAAAAAGTTTCAAACACAATAATTTTTGCCTTGACATCATCATCATTTTATTAGTTCAAGCTTTTTTGATATCTCAAACAGCAAACGAGATAATTAGGGTCAAAAAGACGATAGTTTTAAGGAATTTTACAACTTTCGAAATTTAAAAATTCGAGTGTTATTTAAACGAGAAAACTGAATACTTAAAAAAAAAAAAGAAAAATAACTTTTTGAATTAATAAAATTTTTAAAAAACGTGAAATGGTTTATCATCCTGTGACCTCAGGGAGAATACTATAAAGGAGGGGGAAGTGAAGGAAAAAATACCTGGGTCCTGGGTCCTGGGTCCTGGGTCCTGGGTCCTGGGTCCTGGGTCCTGGGTCCTGGGTCCTGGGTCCTGGGTCCTGGGTCCTGGGTCCTGGGTCCTGGGTCCTGGGTCCTGGGTCCTGGGTCCTGGGTCCTGGGTCCTGGGTCCTGGGTCCTGGGTCCTGGGTCCTGGGTCCTGGGTCCTGGGTCCGTATTTTTCCATTTCAATTTTTAGTATTTTAGAACAACTTCAATTTGATAATATAGAAGCTTCAAATCTTTTCCTCGACACCTTACAAGGGAGGTGTTTTTAGAAGGGCTTTGAGAATTTTCTGAAACTTCGGTCTATAGTACTTTCGAATATGCTGATTACAGTGCTATTGTTATTTTTTCCCCCGTATCCACTCACAAAAAAAGTTATAGGCTCTTAAAGTGATTTCAGTACTAACCCCCTTAACAATTTTTTCAGATTTTCGAAAAATTTTTAAATTTGCCAAAATGAATTTTAAACGTAAAGAAACGATAAAAGGAGTCATTTCACAAAATTTGATGGCTCACATTCTTCTTGAAATCACAAATACCGTAAAACCTCTAATAGAACGACACCCGGATCGTCCACTTTGAGCCCATATATCTCACTTCTTTTGAAAGATATCAAAAAGTGGTTAACTAGTAAAATGTTTATCAGGATATCAGCAACATTTTACTAGTTAGCCACTTTTTGATATCTCTCACAGAAAATGAGATATATAGGCTCAAAGTGGACGATCCGGGTGTCGTTCTATTAGAGGTTTTACGGTAAGTGATTTTTCGTAGTTTTCGTTGGATCGCAGTCCTTCGAGTTCCACCCAGTAACAGTCAAATCTTTTGATAACAAAGATTTACATCATTTCTGACTGGTTTATCACTGTGCCGCACCTAAAATGAACAAATCCGTGTTGCTTTGGCTAACTTTTCGACTAGAAAAGACTATCCAGAAGTGTTTCAAAAACATTTGCAGTTTGATTTTTCGAAACAAGCCAAAAATGAATTTATACTTTTTTTAAAATGAATCAAAATCAGAATGAAAATTTTTTAGAAAGATTTTGACACAATTTGGCTTTTTCAGAGAGATCAGACAAAAAAACATAAAATCAAATTGGGGAGAGTGGGATCGAACCTAACCCTAGTCAGTTACCGCCATCCCTCTTCACCGCTACACCACACTTCGCTGTTCCGCACTGCTTCCAAAATTTATATAAGAAAGGGGGAGATCGCGCTCACGCTTATAACGCTTAAACATAGGTGAAATTTCAGACGCGTTTTTTCAGCTTCTAGGTACATCCGGGAAGGAAAAAATGTCGTCTCATTATTCACCATGTCTAAAAGTATATGTGTACCAATTTTCAAGGAATTCTCAAAGCCTTTTTGAAAACACTTCCCTTGTTAGAACCCGTTTCCCCTTCATTAATACCAAAAAACCCAAAACGACAACTTTTTTCTCCCTTCATCGCCACCTACCTGAAAGATAATGATAAGGCATGGATCAAATCCAGCTTATCATTTTGCAGTATGAAGTTTTAAGTGATTTACAGATTTTTGACATGAAAAAAGTGTTCAGAACGGATAGAATAAAAAGAGAACGGATTTGGAAGTTTTCCATGATTCGCTGAAGTATTCCTAGTATTCCTAGTGTTTCTACATTCCTGGATGTCCTTGCCTATCAATGCGAAATCTTGAAACATTTTTTTCTAAATTTGTAAAAACATTATTGTTATAAAAATACTCTGTATTCAAAAGGTCCTATGAATTTTCGTTTTTTAACCTTTTCTATTGCTGGTTTTCGAGCATTTTTTTTCCATTCTTACTTAATCTCTAAACTTTTCTGATTTTCTAAATCTTCGAATGCTTGAATTTGTTTTAAAACTCTGAGCCTAACTATCCTTTCATTGAAATTTGTTATCCTTCTTTTTAAAAATATTTCTAAATCTACTTACAAAGGAATTACCCGAAGTGTCCCCTCGCTTTTTCTTAGATATTGGTGGCAAAAATGTTCCTTCCCCGGACTAACACAAAACAAATAATATAAGGTGCCCATAGGCAGGTTGAGCAGAATGAACAAACTTTTTGTGATTTTTCAGAAAAAGTGGATCAAGTCCATTCAAAAAATCATAACTTTGTACAGAGCAAAGGTAAAATTACAGACTAACATGTATCGTGTAGAACAGATTACTGGCTGCAAAAAACTCAATAGCACCTATATTCTATCTTGGCGAAGAAATTTACTAGGATGGGAAGTGTCCCAATGGTCCGATCGTATGAAATCAACAATGTCGATTTTCGAAAAAACACCTTTGGTAGACTATGCCCATATACATGGTATTTTTTTAAACTCATTTTTTCATATACATCATAAAAGCTCTGAGAACAAACGATTCAGTTGATTTAGTTGTTTTTTTGACAGAAAACTATCAAATCGTGATCAAGGAGTCAAAACTTTCGAAAAAAAATTTTCACATGTTGAAAGTGAGTATGTAAGTAAGTGAGTGTGAGTAAGTGAGTGTGAGTGAGTAAGTGAGTGATGGAATTGACATTTGAAAGTTTATTTTTTCAAAAATCTCTCTTAAATGAACGGCGAGCTATATATTTGAGACTATAGTTGTGCATTATGACATGAAAGGAATCGGATAGACATAGTCTCCCAAAGGTGTTTTTTCGAAAATCGACATTTTTTGATTTCCTACGATCGGACCATTCGGACACTTCCCATCCTAGTAAATTTCTTCGCCAAGATAGAATATAGGTGTTACGCGTGTATCGTTATATATATATATATATATATATATAAGGAAGATATCAAACAGTTGTTCAATCAACATTTGTGGTCCAACGTTGTAAAATGACTCCGGAAATGAATAGGATGTCGTAAGACTTATTTACAAACTTGGAAATGCGCTCGACGATCCACTAAGGCAGCTAGGCCACCGTATCTGTCCAATTCCAGAAGTACTACTGACTACATCATATTCTACGTAATATTCCATGCCTATCACTTTTGCCTTTATTCCTCCATTTGACTATTTCAACTCTGCTAAACGGACTCTGTCAAATGGATGAAGAACCCAACAACAAATATCAACAATCGGAAGTAGTGGACACTATGGAAATCGTCTTTCAAGAATACTTGATAATGTAAAACGTATGGCCAACCAACCTCCGGACTTATCGATCCGGCTTCTTACAAACTTGGTGAGAAAATTTCTAACACGTGTGAAGCTAGACCTAATCTTGAATCTTGAAACACTTTAATCTCTAACGAGCCACCAGAATTCCACCTAACCTGAGTTTAAGTGATGATTGGACAAGGCGATTTTTGGATGACTTGACCACAGAAAGGATGATCAAGCACAAGACTAAAAAACCAAGATATCCTGCAGTATTTCGCCAATTCGCATGACCTACCGATGCCCTGGAGTGTTCATCGTCAACAAGGCTTGTGCTCCAAATTTTTAAAAATTCGTGCGCAATTTGTGCTTGGATCGGTAGTACTATTAACCCCTCCCCTACGGTTTGTGACTAGGGGGTCATCACGGATCCCTCTCTCAATTTCGCCACCCATATATTAATAAGTTCTTCCTCTTTCCAATTCGATCAACTCTTGAAGTGCTACAAGTCTAACTCCTTGATTCAGTATTTATCTTTTTGAATTATATTTTTTGCCAATCAGTTTCTGCAATGTACTGTAAAACCTGAATGAGAAGGATTGTCCCTTATAATGTTCCACGTCACCACTGGTGGGCCGTACTATTTCAGGATCCTTCAATTAGAGGGAGCTCTTCTATTTTCCTGACAACGTTCTCCAAAATTTTTATTTGAAAAAAACCGGCGAACTTTCTTTCAAAATTCATAAAAACCTGTCAATTTTATCAAAATTGAGAAATTTTCAAAAAGATTTTTTTCGAAATTGGTCAATGATAGTTTTCGTTGCTATTCGAAAGCTAGAATTTGTTCCAAATAGTTCAAAATTCTAGACCTAATAGTTGTTTTTTTTTTTCAAACTAATTTTTTTTCCAATTTTTTTTCGTCTAAAATTTAAACCAATTTATCTTTATTATTGTGGAAATCATCAAAGTAGACTTTTCGGGAGATGCTTCTTACGGTATCTCAAGATAGAAAATTCGTCTTTTAGAAGCTTTTCTCATTTTGAAGCCAATTTTCAGCATAAATACGTTTGTTTCTAACTTTTCTCCATTTCAAATTATTAAAAAATTTCTGAAATTTTTAATTTTTGAGTTTATCTGACATAATATTTTTTATGTAGTTTCTTCTCTTTCAAACTACCCCTACTTTTTTCGATTCTTATTTCTATTTCCAACCCCATTCATTTCAATTTTCTCTTGCTTTTCACAACGTTTTCTTCTCCCTCGTCCCGCGCTTCTTTTCATCTTCATCACAAAAAATTATATATATTATCCCCTTGAAAAACTACTAATCACCATTTCGGTTTGCCCTAACCCTTTCCAGGTCAAATTTCATAAGCATGCACACAGTGTTGCCACCCTGTGTACCTCATTAGGACGCTCATTAAAATGAGTCATGCTAGTGGAGAAGGTTTAAAATCTCTAGATTTGTGGATGTCAACGATGAGAAATTCAAGATTCGATGAAGGAAAAAGGACAGGAAAAAGGATAAGGCTTTTTGAACAAAAAAACTGGTTATATAATAAAAGCTTCAATTTCTGCTCTAAGTTTGTTGGAGCAACTCTTGAATCTTGTACAGAATTGCTCGTAGTTAAACATTTACTTCAAAAATGTAGAACCACGACGAAATTTTTGAAGTGCCAAAGTTTTTATAACCAGCAAGCTGGTGCGCCTTCGGCGCGATACATTCTAGTTTTTCATTTGTTCGAGGCTCCACACCTCACTTTTTCTTAAAGGGCCACGTAAATCTAAATTTATTTTTTAAACTTTTCAAAAGTCCACAGATCCCCAAGAGGACAGACAGACGCATCTAGCGTTTTATATATAAGGAAGATAGGGCAAAAATATTGATAATTGACAATTTTTGGAAATCTTACAAGGGAGTTACTTGAGGGAGTAGGTTTAATTTTTTAAAATTTTTTTTTTGTTTTATTTTAAGCTGCCATAACTGGCTCTGGAATAAAATTTACGCAATGTTTTTCGGGAGTTTCTCGTTATGAATAGGAATTTTCCAGAATAAAAACAGACATTTAATTTTTGAAGA